GGATTCATTGACATCCGCTTGACGCCTTGGCGCGTGTCCCGGCATTCCTTGCGAGCGACTGCGTGTCTCCTGTGCCAGTTCCTGTCGTCCAGTGCATGTGTTGCGATATCCCGGCTATCCCCAGCCCACAGGGGCGGCGGCGGGGGAGAGGGAGCCCGGCTATCCCCAGCCCGCAGGGGCGGCGGCGAGGGAGTGGGAGCCCGGCTATCCCCAGCCCACAGGGGCGGCGGAGGCCTTCACAAAGCATCGGTAGGTCGAGGCTCCGCGCCACTCGCCGTCTGCCGACCTTCTTTTATCATTCAAGTTTTCCAGAATCAAAGTCAATCTCTGTCTCACCCTCACCCCCACTCCTGTCTCTTTCTCTCGTCTTCCCCTTTCTCTTTCTTTCCTCCTCTACTGTGCACCCATCTCTCCTTCGCTATCAGTTGCCTCTCTTTCTCCCTTTCTTATTAGTTGCTTTTCATCTCCTTTGTATCTTCTCTCTTCCTTCCATCCTCTATTAACTCTTTCTCTCTCTCCTTTCCCTGTCCTTTATCCTCCTTCCACTATCTCTCCTCCCTCTGTACAATATTCGCTTTTCTCTCTCTTTCCTCCTGTTCTTTATCACTCTGTCTTTCCTCCGGTTCCTCTCGCCAACCCAAGGCGTCGCCGCTTCTCTGACGCTTTTTTTCCGACGCCTCAGGAGGGCGCATCGGCGTCAATGATTACCACAATAGTTGTTACAATCAAGACGAACTACAAAACTGGCTAGAAAGCAGGAGCCGAATGAAAGCAACAGCAAAGTTGAATCAATAAGACACGTAAATAAACCTAGCTGAGATATAATGAAAAAAATAATAAAATATAGGTATAAACCAAGAGACAAGAAACTAAAAAAAGTGAGACTGAAGACAGAAAATCGGCCGGCTAAAACTACGTATTATTATTGATGAAGAAACTTCCATATATACTCAGTTCAAAAGCGTTTAAATTAACAGACCTACGACAGAAGATGATAGAAAGAGCAGTCAACAACTTATCTTTGAAGTTACGTCACTCTAACTTCCAAGGGTCAGAGGTGAAGGAAACCCGCACGTGGCTCGGAGAGAGTTAATAGGAGTGAAAAGGAGAGAGAAAGGATTTAACCCATTGCCGCGGGGAAAAATTAACAAAAAAAGGGGAAAATGCTGTGCCTATTTTCTATATTTTTTTGTTAAATGTCTGCCCATAGATGGCTCTGTAAGCGCCTGATTTGAAATGGCGGCAAAAACGTATTTTTCTCTAGTGCCATGAATATCGATGGTGTTATTTTTATCATAAACATAATAATTATTATAATGTTTTTTAACATTAGTAACAGCAAAATAAGATAAAATATTTCGTAAATCAAAGGAAAGGGTGAACGGGCGAGACGGGCGGTACTCGTAACTGGCTCATTGGTGATTTAGTACAAGTGTAGCCATCTATGTGTGAAAGCAATCTAACAAGCAATCTCACAGTGGGCATGGCATGGCATGCCCGGCGGGAATGGGTTAAGGGAGTGAGAGTAGAATAGAGAGTAGAATCTGAGAGTAATTTGGGAAGTGCCTGACAAAGAGAAGGGGAGAGAGAGAAATAGAGTAAGAAAGATTTATCAATTGAAGACAGATGTTAACTGAGTGAGGAAGAGTAACAGATTGATAGAGAGAGCGTAATCGAGTGAGAGAGATTAATTAAGTGATTGAGGTCATCCTCTCCAGGGCACTCAGATCACACTCGGGTTCATAGTTTCCTCTTGGGCTGCGATCAGAATGACACCATCGGCAAGCTCCACTGTGTTCACTTATGTAATGAACGCGCCTTGTCCCTTGTGTTGACATGTATAAAGAAGGGGCCATCAGTGGTGTGTAGGTCACTTGGAGAGTTAACACTGGCCTGACAACACATCTATAAGAACTGATCCGAGGCTTCTGTTAAAGGCCTTGACTGTTCCTGCTATGCGTATTAAACACATTCATGTATGGATGTGGCTACGTGCCCATGTATATCGCTATATATTTTAAGCAATATGTAATAATGACGTGTTTTAGCAAGCATTATAAATGTATTTTTTCTAAATGTTATAAGCAGTAGTTACAATTGTAAGTAAGCAAAAATTTCAATGTGATAGCGGGCACGATTGCTATTGTATTGATTACAGGTTTGATCGCATTGTCATGAAGAGTGGAGCGAGTACGTCGCGGTGCTTTCACTCGGCTGAAACTGACAGAAATTTCCCTTTGTTTCTTATCTGCAAATCGCCGGCGATGAAAGAATAGTGATAATAGGGAGAGCAAGAGGCAATGGCAGAGGGAGGAGGTTGTAGGAGGGAGAGGAAGAGCGAATCATGGAGATAGAAAGATAAGGAGGTGAGACACACAGAGAGATGGAGAATGTGAGAGAGATACAGAAGGATGAGACAGAGAGAGAGATGGAGATTGTGAGAGAGATAGAGAAGTAAGAGACAAAGAGAGAGATTGAGAGGGAAGAGACAGAGAGACGGGGAGAGAGGGAGATGGGATGGGCAAGGAGAGGGAGAGAGAGGTTTTATCTCTTTATCAGCCGCCCCGAGTTAAACACATTCACTGACACAACATACATAACTTAAAATACGAATACATACATACGTACGCAAACACAATCACGGAGAGAAACATACACATAGAGACAGGCACACACGAACGTGTGTGATTTTTTTTCTGAAGTGATGTGCGAATTCCGTTTCTCTAAAGTGAAAGAAAGAAAGCGAAAGAGAGTGATTAAGGGAGAAAAGTGTTGAGAGACTAGTTTATGAGTAAGGAGACAGAGAGAATGGGAGATAGCGATTCAAGGTGAAGGAGATAGAGCGAGTCAGGACAAGAGAAACAGAGAAAGATAGATTGTGAGTCAGGTAAGAGAAAGATAAAAAAGGAAAAGCGAGAAAATTAAAGGAAGAGTGTGAGAGATTGAGATAGGAAGTGGCACAGAAAGTGAACTTAGCTGTATACACATTTGTTCTATTAAGACACATCTCTCAATATCCTCTCCTGGGCCCACATGATTATATACAGCGCACAGAAGAATATATTATATACATGTTATAAAATTA